CAAAATATGAGGTTAAAAATAATACAATATCCACCTCAAGAAGCTCTCGCTAGACAGTTGGATTAAGGGCCCGATTCAAAAGGCGGTTATTTTAGAAACCGCACGAATAGTAGGAGGTTCCTGTCTCTGCAGCCCTGACCACTGGTTGCTTGAGTCATCGGATTCCGCAGCCGGTGGTGCTCTATTTTTTATATAATTTATTTTATTTTAATTTTTATAATTTTGTAAAATGTATTATATAGAGAGTAAGAAATAAAGATATATGAATAATACAATATCCACAAAACTTATCGCAATGGAACAATTCATGGACAGAAAAACAGATTTTTAGTGAAATAATGCGTAATACTTGCACAATCGTCAGCTTGTTGACTCCTTTTGTGTAGCGTCAGTCGACATACAAATGGTGCGCTCTTGTCGGGGATTCAATTCCATTCGATAGCCGACAACAAAGATAATTAAAAAGTTCCGAATTGCTTTCAAAGCAATTTCGGATGCGGCATTACGGTACTCGTACCTTTGAACTCGTTACCTTCATGTTTATTTGTTACCGATGTAACGTAATTACAATGTGTGTTAACATGAATGTAATTTACATTGGTTTGTATGTTAATTCCATTGTTCCTATAAGATTGCACCGCTTTGAGTGGACTTTGTCGGTGAAATACTGAAACGAAACATGCTTCGTAAGCGCCGCTTTTAATCCGACAGACGACGTGGCGATATTTAAGATGATGCTACATATTTAAATGGCGTTTCAATATTCGCAGTGATTGTAGTGTTTTGGATTGTTTCGTAGTAAGCGGCTTTGTACCTATTATGCAAGAATTGTTAAGTAGTTTGTACAACACTATTGTCTTTAGCTTTTGAGACGCTAGTAAAACAATTAGGGCAAACATTAGAGAGAGGCGGCGAGTGAGGCTCACAGGCGCACTCACAGGCGCGCTGTAAATTATTCCCACCGACGTAAGTGTACTTAACGTCTTGCTGAACTTGTTTTATGACTTTCAAAAGTTCCTTAATTGCCAGAAATACCAAGTTAAATCTAAGTGACATTCAGCGAGAGGAAATATGCTTCTTTACCGTGCTCTCTTGCACTGATTTTTTGAACTATTTTAAAGCTCGAATTTTATTTACAAATCTCTCAAATTCAGTACACACCAATACAAAAATACAACCGTTATTGAGTAGCATTAAATGAAAAACCCTCGAATCCGCAGTTCGCTAAACAAATTATTCCTCGATATAACGCACTGTTATATTCAGGAACAACGTGCAACCACTTAAAATGATAATTATCAAGGATAGTTATATATTTTAACATTATTATTACATGATAATTTTGACCACAAACCCACGTTGCGGTCTCTGCTCATCGCATTTTGCTGCACATTGGCCATTTTGATTTCACAATATACGGTAATAATACTTAATTATTATATCTGTCAATTGTGAAAATTTTGCCACTTTAAAATTCAATTTTATATTTATTTATGTGTCAAAAAACGTTAAATAAAATAG